TAAACATGTCTGTGGGTCTGAAGCTACTATAAGCTGCAACTTTAATGGAAGATGGAGGAAACTGAAAGAGACTTGTGAGAAGACCCCGAAAGTAGCATCCATCAACACTTCAAATGGAAAATAAATATAATTAGAGAGAGATACAGTGACTCCCAGAAATATTCGGACACTAGTGTATGGTTAGCTTTATGACTTCATATCGTAGTTATTAAAAAAGCAATTGTCTTCGTTACTTTTTCCAATAATAAGTCATTTATTAATGTTATTAAAGATGTATACATTAATCCAAAAATTTACATAAATTACATAATAGCAATACACAACCGAAAGAATATCACATTATCGGGTACGATAAAACACGGAGGAGGCAGTGTAATGGCGTGGGGATGCATTTCGACTTCCGGCGTTGGAAATTTAGTTTCTATCGATGACATCATGACATCATGGATATTTAAATTGCTTTTAAAAAGCAATTTAAAACAAAGTGCAGAAAAAATGGGGATTGCTGAAGATTTTAAATTTTACCAGGATAATGATCCTAAACATAAGTCGGGCATTGTCTAAGAATTTTTATTGTATAATTGCCCCAAGTCCTTCATCCACCTTCACAATCACCAGACCTTAACCCTATAGAAAACTTATGAGATAAGTTGAACCAACGGATTCGCAAGACACCCATTCGTTCCAAAGAAGAACTTAAAATTAGGCTTCAAGAAGAATGAGCATCCATTTCGACAGAATATTTAAAAAAAATAATTTCTAATATACCGAATCGATTGAGACATATTATAAAACAAAAGGGATTTGCAACAAAATATTAATGTGGAACATATAATGTTTAATTTTAATTAATAAATGTTATTCCTCATAGTGTCCGAATATTTTTGTGATCCGAAAATGTGATATTCTTTCGTTCGTTTATTGCTATTATGTAATTTATGTAAATTTTTGGATTAATGTATACAACTTTAATAATATTAATAAATGACTTATTATTGGAAAAAGTAACGAAGACGATTGCTTTTTTAATAACTACGATATTAAGTCATAAAGCTAACCGTACACTAGTGTCCGAATATTTCTGGGAGTCACTGAATATAAAATTATACAAGAACCCTTACACTCTAACATATTATAAAAATAAGAAATATAAATGCAAAACTTACAACTAAAAAATCATCAAGGTAACTTGAGTTTGTACTTTTTCTTAATACTCTACTACTCTTTCTTTCCTATATATAATCTCCTTTTTAATTCCCGTAGACACACTTTAGTAGACGTTATTCTAACTAAACTCTCACTCTTTTATGTTTTTATCACATTACGTTGCAATTTTCAGTCTTTAACTGTATTTAAATACTATGTTGTATATATTGCATATTCACTGTATTCTTTCTACTATCTAAAAAATATATAATGTATATATATACTGCAACGTGATTTCCCGACACGGTCCGCGATCCGCGTCGGGAAGCGTGCAAAGTGAGAGTTTTCCGACTTCTCACGCCTTTACGGGAAATCCCGAGCGCCAGGTATCAGGAAATACCGGCGTAAGAAGCCGAACGTCGCGAAATTTACCACGGCTAGCGATCCGGATCGCGGAGAGGGGCGTGGATCGTCGGCGAGGAAAGGAAGTCTGGGAAAGCCGTCTTCACGGCGAGACGAGGCGGATTAACACAGCACTCGTTTAAAATAATATAGAATATATTGTACGCGAAAGATGTTACAGAATTCGGTGTACGCTGCCGAGCTATCGTAGCGTCAAAGGTCACCGGGACGACCGGTAACCGACACGAGAACTACGTTTCGAAAACACGTGCGGATTTCGTTCACGATAGCCTAAATTCCGTCGCGATTCGCACAAAAGCGATTTTGGAAACGATATTTGTAGTCTTGACGCGGTCGCGGTGGGCTCGACCTCTTCGACGAGAACGTTAACCGGCAGCGATTCTAACACGTGCGCGTTACAATGGACTCGCGACTAGATGTTCGTTAATTCGCTCGATATCCTACGCAAAGGCGATTTCCGGCTAACAATGCTATTTCGCCCGACAGGGTGCTCGGCAGCCACCAGGTAACCCGACCAATTCACGATATCCTATCCATGAGCGTGAGGTAAAGGAGGAAGCGTTTACCGTACCGTCCACCACGTGTGTCGCTGACGAAAAAGGACGAGCTACGCGAGCTCGTCGCACGCGTTGGCTCACGCGCTTCCCCCCAGCCTCACCTCAATGGTCGGCGGTACGCGGCACCTTATGGCGGCCAAATTCAAATCGCGTTATCGGCGCGTTCGTCATCGGCGGTCGTCCAGTCTCGTCCCTCGGCGACTTTGGTGGCGTGTCGGTGCTGGCATCCCTCGAAGACTCTGGAGCGGACCGGGTCTCGGTGCACTCGAGAACCCGGCTGACTTCGCTATCCTAAACGGCCTCCTGCCCCCTGAAGGTCGTAGCGGAGTCCAGGGGCTGTTACCAAGAACCTCCAGCCCCTGTCCATTTGAGCTTCGTCTGGCCAGTACGTGCAGCCGGCGCCGGGTTGGACGGGATCGGTAGACTCTAAGCCACATCGCTCGGTGTTGCCGTCGTTAGCCCAACGCTATTGCCCTTCCGATACGCAAATTAGTCATAACCCTGAGTTACCCTGGTGGCGCTCTCGATCTTGGTCGGTCTCGTTCCCCGCGGAGAGTTCACCTCTTTGTGACGTGGGAATCTGCCACGTCACACTACATACATATACACTTCCCCTTTTTTTTAAATATCTTTTCCTATATCTGTGAAAAATTTCGTAACCGCCTTAAACACTTTGGTTTTGTCTAGTTTCAACAAGTCTGAGACATTTTCTTCTACTTGATTTAAATACTCCTGAATGGAGTCCTTGAAATTGAGTCTTTCTAAATTATATAAACCACATTCAAACATTACATGTGGAACAGATTCCGGTTCTAACCCGCAATCACACACCTAGATATAGACAGATATAGACAAACTTCTGGAAAATATCCAAATAGATTACGAGGATTCTTCTTTTTGGATGTTCGTATCGACCGATAACCCTGCTTGTTTCATATGCAAAAAAGAAGGTCATTTGGCAAAATACTGCCCCTCTCATACTCATACTGCTAACCCAGATCAAGAAGCAAATAATACTAACAATTCTAAATCAGACAAAATAATTAGTACAAGCAGTAACGCAGAAGTGAATATAAATGGTATTGGAAAAATCCCTGTTAATGTTGTTTTTATTTGCGTGAATCGTGAGGAGATTGGATGGATGCTCAAATGAGTAAATGTTTTTTTTTTTAATGCTTTTATTCCTCTTTAGCTTATAGCTTCGACGAGGCGACGATTGGGACTGACTATCTTCCGGTTTAAGAGAAAGATCGTTTCTCGAGTACCGACGGTATCCGAGCGATGTTCGGCTTTACTCGTAAGCGAGCAGGCCGACAACTGTTGCATGTTAAAAACGCGATGTTACAAACTCGGTTTTAACAATCCCGAATGCTGTCAAAAGACCTCTATCATCTAGCAGCATAAGTAATTCACCCATCGATGGACTAGAGCCTCCTCCGATTCCATCTTCATCACTGAAGAATATAAACACCAATGTAAATGAAGATAACAAAGATTTAGGGGAATTCTTGAACCCCTCTTCTCAAGGAAAGCCTGCCAAAAAGAAAATAAAGAAAGAAATGGCTCATACACAGGTACATAATGATATGGACCAAACTTTAAGTCCAATCAAATAAATTTTACTACAGCATCCAGATACTTATATTTTGCAATACGAAAAATTTAAGGAATTTCTTATAGAAGCAAAAGGCAATCCTGATGTTGTCCAGTTAGCCCAATCATATACTAATGATCTCTCACTATTAATCAAAATGCTTCGAGAAACTCAAGTCTAGTTGATAGAGCAATTAAAAATAGAATTTCAAGAATCATCAAGAAACTTGAGTTACACAGGAAATGGGCCTACGAAGTAGACTCCAGTAAAGAAGATTCTGATACTAATGTTACTCATACCGACGTCTCCGTTCCTCCTCACGACGACGCCTCAGATTCGGACAATTCTGGAATAACTGATGACAGCACTTCTCTAATCCCTGTTAACCTATAATCTGGATCGGATCATGTCACAACAAAATCGCAAAGTCACCTTCAACGGCGAACTCAAAGTCACATTCTGGAATGCCAAAGGTTTACAAAAGTCCAAGGAAAAACTGCAAAAACATTTATCCGATGTCGACGTCTTTATTGGCGTAGAAATCTGGTTGAGCAAATAGATGATTTTTAATCTCCCAGATCTCAAATCAGTAAGGGTTGATAGGAATATTAGGCCAGGTGGAGGTATAATATTTTTAATTAGAAAATCGTTACAATTTTCCACGATTCCTTATCTCTGTATAACTAATGATAATATGGAAGTAGGAGCAATACAAATCCTGAACACATTTCCTGAAATCGTCTTCGTAGATTGCTACAGGATTCCTGGCACTCTTACCTCCTCACAAGAATGGGATCAGCTTTTTCACTGTATAAACTCTCATGGCCCAAGCCTTATCTTTAGAGACTTTAATTCACATAACGTCTGTTGGAATTGCACTAAAAATGACCTAAACGGAATTAATCTTCTTAGCTCCGTTAATAATTCTGATTTAATTCTAATAAACGATAACTCCCTTACCCGCATAGATTTCTATAGAAAAAAACTTTCCAACTTAAATCTTGTTCTCTCATCTCCAGATATCTATGACAAAGTTAATTTCAATATTTCCGAAGACACCTGGGGCTCGGATCATTATTCTATAAATATTCAACTAACTGGCAATAAAACACAATTTTTCAAAGACAAAAGGAGATTAACCTCCAAAAGAACCGATTGGTCTAGATATTACAGACTTCTAGGTGAATCCTATCCCATGTTCCTTGATCCGCTATATGATTCTCTAGATACAACTGACAAATACTTTTTTTTTGTAACACAATTATTGAAGCTGGCAGAAAATGCACACCCGCTACAAACTCTTATAATGTTAAACAGCATAGGAATCCTGTAGCTTGGTGGGATGATCAATGCTCAAAACTAATTAGACTTAGAAAAGCAGCGCTCAAAAAATGGAAGTATTCTCGCAACACAAAAGACTCTATAGCTTATAAAAATGTAGGACAATTGCTAAAAGACACAGCAACAAAAAAAAAATTAGTAATGTAAGGGATGTTAGGTCGCAGGTGAGGAATTTGGAAAACAGTTTCTAAGGGAAAAGGAAATGGTTTATTTATTACCATATTGCTTTCCTGGGAGAGGAATAGGAATTACAGGTTTGTTCGAAAAAAAAAAACAAAGCTTTTGGCTCAATTTTTTACAATAACAGAAATTTACAGAAAAGTATATCGTATCGAGGCGTCCGGATGACTCTACCGTCCATTCCCTGGAAGGCGACC